ACTACTGTCAGTTATAGTTCAGTTTCGTAGCATTCTCAGAAACAGTAGCAAATTGAACACTGAACAGGAAACTACTGACCCTCTTTGCTACCCGGTGACGGACAGGCTGACACACGAGATTGAGTTAGGTTAGCACAGAAAGGGATCCTCGTTGCTGTGCAGTAGGCTATATGGGAAGTCCTTTCGTGTGGTTCAGGGATCGCTATCTATCTATATACATAGGCAGAAAGATATGTGAGTGTGTGTGTATGTGTGTTTGTGTGCATGTGCGTGTGTGCGTGTATGCGTATGTGTGTGTGTGTGTGTGTGTGTGTGTGTGTGTGTGTGTGTGTGTGTGTGTGTGTGTGTGTGTGTGTGTGTTTGCACGCGCGCGTATGTGTGTGTGTAAGTGCATATACATATTGCATAAATAGGTAGGCGCAGAGTTGAATAATATGATTATAATACGTCTTCCGTGCATAAGGGCGTAACTTCCATGCGCCTCCGTGCAGCAGAAAAAAAGGTTTAATAATAAATTATAACTTTAAAAACGTCATATTTTACAGTGGTTAAGCTAAAAGTTATGCTAAACATATCTTTGTATATCTACAAAGGGTACATCTTTAAACTGTTTGATAGCATGTAAAAGTATAGACTTCCTTGAAGATATGTTTAAAGGTCGAATTTCGTTTAGTAATTTTAAGATCAACATCACGCTGTGTTTTCGGTATCACCTGATTAAACTTATAGGAAATAAAGCTACTGAATGTACACACAAACGCACGCGAACACACACACACACACACAAACATATAATAGATGCATTAAATATGGGGCCTTATATATCTCATAAGAAGTGTACTTATATATATATATATATATATATATATATATATATATATATATATATATATACGGACACACACCACACACACACACATATATATGTGTGTGGGTGTGCGTGTGCGTGCGTGTGTGTGTATGTATATATATATATATATATATATATATATATATATATATATATATCATAGAGTGCCTGTTCTATGAGTAACACACACACACACACACACACACCACACACACACACATATATATATATATATATATATATATACATACATATATATATACATATATATATATTATATATATATATATATATATATATATATATATATATATATCATAGAGTGCCTGTTCTATGAGTATATATATATACATATATATATATATATTATATATATACATATATATATATAATAATATATATATATATATAATAATATATAATATAACATATATATATTATATATAATATAATATATATATATATATATATATATATATATATATATATATATATATATATATATATATATATATATATATATATATATATATCGGTTTTTATCCTCATGAAACGCCTACTTCCTCATGGAACCCGGGCCTAATCCAAAAGCAGAGACCGAGCGCAAAAGGTTCTGTCTTGAGTAGAAGTAAGAATAATATTGATTTCCACTCGCGCTTTCCCCGTGCGGATGAAACGAGTGTCGAGTCACGTATACAACGCTCATGCACACTACGAGGTGCAACTCGCGACATTAAATTACCTTTTATTACGCCCCACATTCCTGCTTTTCCCCTCAGTTGTTCCTTTCATTCGCTCCGCAGGTGATATGGGCCGAAGTATTTGACGATTGTGAAAACTATATGGCAAGGGTTAAAGAATGAATGTCCTACTCAACACCGCATTTTTTTTTTTTTTGCCTCTTTGGAAGATGGAGTTTTACGTTTAGTATTTCTCCAGGAAGACTTCTGGATCGCGAATTTCTCTTCTATTCGTCCGTGCTCGTGTCCCGTGTGCTCTCCGCCAAAGTTCATAGTGTTTGAAAAGGGGGAGATCACAGTAGGTGGTCATCTAACTTGAAGGCATCGATCCTCAGGCAAGAAAAGCTAGTTGATCGTACGGCCTGGGGTTTTAATAACAAATTCATTTATTTTTCGTTATGGGGTAAATAGTGTTTGCTGTTAGCACTGATGTATTTTTAGATGATTTACATTTGTAACTAGAGGGTTGTTATGCCGAAATATATCACTTTTAATTGAAAATGTGAGCGTGTTATACAACGCATCTAATGTACAAACTTAGCGGGGAAAGCTTACTAGTTATACGGCTACCTCTCGAAGAACATTTTAAAAATTTTAATGTTGTAAATCATCGTATATGAGACATACATTCATATATCAAACACTCAAATAACACATTCGAATGCACACCAGTTTCCTGATGCCACCACGCAAAACCTCTTAGAAAATTTCCCAATGAAAACGCAGTAAATCGCTGAGTGAAGCGCAAGCCGCGTTCTGATTGGTCGTGAAGTAGCGAGGTCCGACGAAACGAACGCGCGATTTAAACCTCCCAAACGCTTGTCTTTGTTGGCGTCAGAGAGTAAACATTAGCTCCTTCTGTTAAAACCCTAGAATTTTTTTTTGCTGGCACTTGAAGACAAATTTCGAGGTAAGTCTTGACGACCGGGTTGTCCATCGCCGTTTCGAAGCGAGTGTGACAATCAGCGAGAAGAAATGAGTGGATGAAATAGTCAAAAGTGAAAGCTTTTGTAAATCGGAAACATTTTTCAGGGTTAAAAATTTCGCGCATTGCATCTTTTTTGTTAATAAGTTCCCGAGAGGTGAAGGAAGAAAGTCGTTCTCTCGCTTATACATATTAGGCACCCAGCGGAAGGAACGGACTTGCTTATCCTGTAATTCATAGCGAGAGAATCCGCCACACGAAAAAAAGGCAACCGGATCCAAAATGGTGAATTTTGGTGACCGTGAGAGAGAGTGGGAGAGAGAGAGAGGGAGAGAGACCCCTCACTCCTATGATTTAACGTGACATAAAACCTCGCCATCAACCCCCCCATCCGAAACCAGTCCTCTAAATTGACACATCCATCTCCAAAATAGCAAGAGAAAAATGTTGCTCCATTCTCTCGGAGGCGCCCTCGGCTCTGCCATGGTTCCCCCTTGGCTTTGGTTCTACAGCATGACCCTGAAGCTTGTATTATCGATTATTTTAGGACCCATTATACCCAGCTGCTGCTATGGTCAATGGGTGGCTGGGATGGAGGCAGCATCAACAGCTGTCCTTCCACCGAGCTGCTGCTGAATGCCACATCCTCTGAGTTTGTGATTTCGAGCTGGAAACTGCATGGTTTTGTTATTGTTATTGTTGGTGGTGTCTTTGCAAGGTTTGTTTATATATTTTTTATTTGTTGAGCATATTTTTATTATTTTATTTTTCATTTAAGGTTAAGCCTATTTGTTATTTAATTTTATTTGGCAGGTTAAAAATGTGTTATAATTTTATTTTATCTGTGAAGTTAAGCATATTCATTATTATTTTTTTTATTTAAGGTCAAGTCTATCTGTTATTTTATTTTATTTGTTAGGTTAAACATGTGTGTTATAATTGTATTTCATGTATGAGGTTTAACATCTTTATTATTTTATTCTATTTGTGAGGTTCAACATATTTTTCATTATTTGTTATTTTATTTGTGAGATTATGTATATTTGTCATTAAAGTATGTTGTCTTGTTCTCAGACAAAACAGTAACAAAAGTATTTTGTTTTTCTAGTTTTGTTTATTATTTTTTTGTGATGTTTATTTGCATTACTTAGATTTACTAAGGTTTGAATTTAGAATCCATATTGACTTTCAATATTCATTTGGGTTATGTATTTTTAGCCTCTTTTTTACAAATAGACTATAGTTTATAAAAATCCAATTTGTTTAATTATTGGTTATTATTGTGTTCTTCAGATACAATGTCTTTAGTAATTCTATAGGTAGAAAATATATGACAACTGTGATTGCATGAATTGTTTTTTAGGTGATGACATTTATTTCAGGTCAGAATAGTTGGATTACTTTTAATTTTTTTATTTGTGCATGGATTTTTGTAATATATATTTGTAGTGTGATAATGGTATGACAGCATCAATCTAGAATGTTTTAGACATATTTTATGCAAGGTTAATAGAGTAATCCTTTTTTTTTTTCTACAGAAAAATGACTTTGAATCATGACTTTGGATATGATCATTTAGTAAGCATATAGAATATGAAATGCTCTTGGGGATTTATGGTGTTTAAAAGAAATCATTTTATTTATGTAGTGAATATATCGTTTTGCTTTTATCATAGATTGTAATTGTAAACAGATATGTCGCTCCAAACTTGTCAATGGGTTAAACAGAATATTTTCTGTCTGAGAAAATAAATTAGAATGAGGAATCCTTTAAGAATCTCATAGCCAATTTCATATTCTTAGAATAGAAATATATCAAAAGTGTGGTTATTAAAGGTGAAATGCATCGGGTATGTCAAGGTATATCCCTCTTACTAATTCAGGGTATATTTATTAAACTCAAATTGGGAAGCTAATGCTACAAGTAAAAAATTAGCAATGAAATTGAAGCCCTGCTTTGTTCTAATCTTGTATTGTTTCTCTGGCCAACATTATAAGCACTTATCCATTAGGGGTTATGTTCAGGTCCGTTTGTTAGTGTGTTGCATTGTCGTGACTGGTAGGCATTCAAAATTAAGAAAAACAAGTACATAAGCATTAAATATTTTATTTTTTAATTTGCCACCAACTTTCATATATTAAGATTATGCTGCTACTTAAGCAAACTCGTGTTGAATGCTGAAAAAAACTGTAGTTAACTGTTGGCACAAGAGAAGAAAAAGTGTCAGGATTGTCTGCTAAAGGGAAGATCTGTTCCTTTGTCAGAAGGGACTACTGTGCCATTTTATGTTTACTTTTATGCTCCTTTCTTTTTTCTTTTCTATATTAGTCCAATTCTTCCCTAGCTATAAATGTCCTCCTTTTTTCTTTATAAGCTATTACTGAATTAGACTTTTTTTGTTATCAGTTTGTAAATTTAGTAAACTTTTAGAATGTTTCAACGAATGTATGCATTTATTAGCAGTGTAAGATAGCTTTGAATATTAGGATGATATTGGGTTAATTTTTATGGTATGGATGCACGTGGCTAGGGCAAATTGAAGGCGATATTCTTGTAGAGGACAAAAAGTTGCAGTCATTGGTACATGAAGTAATCTGCAGACACAAACATTAATGCCACAAATATGTAAAAGAAAAACATCGTGGCTCCTATTCAACCCTTGGGGAAGGTTGATGGGGGTCTCAGTCATGGTGAGATTGTTGAAAAGATTTCGTGACAGGGAGTTTGGGATGTAGCCTCAGGCAAATGTGTCTGGAAAGATTTACCAAATATCATATGTATTAGAAGAAAACATTACTTATTAGGGAGAGAGGGGGGTAATGCATTTAATGGTTACCTAGAGAATTGAAAATGGTCATGAGACTACAGAAGTAACAATTGGTTATTGATTGGTATATTATTCAGAATAGGACAGCATGAAGCAACATTATGGCCTCTTCATTTTGCCCTCTACCAAAGACCAACAAATTGATTATAATATATTTGATAGGGAAGCTTGGACTGATTTTGTAATCAATAAATCCCCTGAGAAATTGATAATTTCTTTCATGAGAGAATGTACAGAAAGGAGATTGAGCTCAGAAGTCATGGCATTGTTGGGCTTGACCATGCTAGTAAAGATTCACTGAATTGATTGGTGATTGGTGACCTGAACTTCAGTACTTTTTTATACCTAAAGGTGATGTTTTATATGATCTTTATGGCTATTAGCTTACTTTTTCTGTCATGCTGTCCTATTTTGAGCATTGAATTCCAATAAACAAGTAATGTCAGGGCAAGAATATGAGTAGGGGCTATGAAATTTTTGATAATCATGAATTTGTTTTTGCAGCTAATGTTATACACAAGTTGACTTTTAGCACAAAACTAGACAAAGAAGGATTGCATGGCAAATTCTCATTCTTTGAAATATATTCTCCTACCCTGTCAGTTCAAGCAAAGATGGAAGAGAAATGTTTGTTGAACTGGTTTTGACATGCCTACTTGAAGCACTGATTTTTTGTTTATTCATATTTTTTGTTCTTATCTTTGTCTTTTTATCTTTGTCTTTTCTCTTTCCTTTTGCTTAAAGGTGAATAGATAGAGAGAGAAATAGAAAGATAAAGATAGATATGATTTTAAGAATGCAATTGCAGATATACAGGTACACAAGTGTGTGGGAGCCATAGTGAACTACACCTGTAAAAGAATGAAATAATAAGTAGCTCACTCACTCACTCACTCTCTAGACTTGGCTACAGAGAGTAAAATGAGAGTAAGAATGAGTGAATGCGAATGAGAATATGGGTGAGTGGGATTGCGAGTGAGACTACGAGTGAGAGTGAATGCAAGTGAGAATATGAGTGAGAGTGAATGCGTGAGAATACAAGTGAGACTGGATGCGAGTGAGAATACGAGTGAGAGTGAATGTGGGTAACAATACAAGTGAGAGTGAATGCGAGTGAGAGTGTGAGTATGAGTGAGAATGAGTGTGAGTGCATGCGAAAGTGAATGCAAGAGTGAGTGCGAGAATGTGGGGGAGTGATAGAATGTGAGTGAGTGAGTGAGACTGTGTGAGAGTGAGTGAGTGAGATGTGAGTGAGTGAGAGAGAGACTGTGAGTGAGTGAGAGAGAGACGTGAGTGAGTGAGAGAGAGACTGTGAGTGAGTGAGAGAGAGACTGTGAGAGTGAGTGAGAGAGAGAGACGTGAGTGAGTGAGAGAGAGACTGTGAGTGAGTGAAGAGAGACTGTGAGTGAGTGAGAGAGAGACTGTGAGTGAGTGAGAGAGAGAGTGAGTGAGAGAGAGACTGTGAGTGAGTGAGAGAGAGACTGTGAGTGAGTGAGAGAGAGACTGTGAGTGAGTGAGAGAGAGACTGTGAGTGAGTGAGAGAGAGACTGTGAGTTGAGAGAGAGAGACTGTGAGTGAGTGAGAGAGAGACTGTGAGTGAGTGAGAGAGAGAGACTGTGAGTGAGAGAGAGAGAGAGACTGTGAGTGAGAGAGAGACTGTGAGTGAGAGAGAGACTGTGGGTGAGAGAGAGACTGTGAGTGAGTGAGTGAGTGAGAGTGTGAGTGAGTGAGTGAGTGAGAGACTGTGAGTGAGTGAGTGAGTGAGAGACTGTGAGTGAGTGAGTGAGTGAGAGACTGTGAGTGAGTGAGTGAGTGAGAGACTGTGAGTGAGTGAGTGAGAGACTGAGTGAGAGTGAGAGACTGAGTGAGACTGTGAGAGTGAGTGAGAGACTGTGAGGTGAGTGAGTGAGAGTGAGAGTGAGTGAGTGAGACTGTGAGAGTGAGTGAGTGAGAGACTGTGAGAGTGAGTGAGTGAGAGAGTGAGAGTGAGTGAGTGAGAGACTGTGAGAGTGAGTGAGTGAGAGACTGTGAGAGTGAGTGAGTGAGAGACTGTGAGAGTGAGTGAGTGAGAGACTGTGAGAGAGTGAGTGAGTGAGTGAGACTGTGAGAGTGAGTGAGTGAGAGACTGTGAGAGTGAGTGAGTGAGAGACTGTGAGA